GATGGAATCCAAATAAAACTGATCATAGGGAATGTAGAATTCTAATTAACAGGGCAAGACCTATGCACAGCAAGTAGCTCGTACAATACAAATACCAGAAATACAAATGTTTTTTGCTTTTCATGGAGTACTTGTTATACAGGAAGTTCATTTTGCAGACACAGGTGTGAAAAGCCAGAAATACAGAACAAAGCCTTAGTTATCAGCAGCAAACACTGTAGGAAACTGAAAGAGAAATCATCACTTAAGTTCCTAACTCAGCACTTACAGAAGACGTCCCTGATCAGACAAAGTATTTAAAGCACTTTTACTTGAAAATTATTTCAGGATTACTTATAGCTGGAGCACAGTCTGATAACCAAAGACTAAAATAAGTGATATTAAAAAAAAAAAAAAAAAAAAAAAAAAAAAGGAAAGGAAAACCTTTTACTCAGATTGGGTTCCTTGTACTCAGATGTGGTTGCAAGCTACAGAAGCCATGCACTGGAAAGGGAAAGGTAAGAAGAACTGAAGTTTTTTTAAAAAAAAAATAGACCAGAATGAGAAAAATATAAGTTTTATTCATGTTTATTCACAGAATTCACATCCCTAGAAATCCTCCACTTGGGGATTCATATCTAAGAAAATAGGTAAATAATGAAACCTAATTCAGGGCCAGGAAAACAATGGCATCAAAACCTACAGATCCCAATCACCTACAGAATATAAGGGGCAAGACATCATTGGCAAGCTCAAGGGAAAAAACAGATGCTATTTTAGTCAGAATTCACTTTCTACGACAGGATAACCAAATGTCACTGCCTTGGATTCAGAGCACTAAATGGTATATTGAGTAGTGAGATATTTTAGACACTGCAGAGAGAGACCAATGGAAGGATCCATTCTTTTCCTGACAGCCCCATAAGAACACAGTATTAAAAACATTGAAGGGTTCTGCATGTCTTACTCCTCAAAATACCTCTTTTCAGCTGTATAGAGGCCATATGAACTCTAAAAGTAGAAGCAAAATGCAATGTGAATGATCCCTGAAATTATTCAGCTCCTGATCAGGTAGAAATCCTCTTACTTTAAAAAGGGTGGGAGGCAGGGGGGTTTCCCTTTTTCTTTTTTTTTTTTTAACAACATTCACTTCTGGGACTATAGACCTATATGTTTTTCACCTCATATGTCCATATGTTCCATAAAGGTCGACAAATTTGTCATCCTGATTAGGCAGAGAAACAAGCAGAATCAATGCAGTTCCTGCAGTATAAAATCCTGAATTTTTCTTGCTTCTGTTTCAAGACACAGCTTTCAACAAACATTATCTAAATGCCAGTTAAGACCACATATTGACAATTATTTTTTCCTTCTATTTCCACAAAGGTTTCTGCATCAATTCAAGTAGTACTTCTATCCCCACTGGGCACACATCAATGTACTGAACAGAGCTGTGGAAAAAAAAAAAAAAAAAAAAAAAAAAAAAAAAAAAAAAAAAAAACCACCACACAAACCAACATTGTGCCCAGCCCTTTATGGATGCTCCTGGAGTTCTGGAAGTAGCCTTAGTTTGCTACCTGAAAACCAGGAAGCTATTTTAATTAATTCATGGAATCGTGGAATGGTTTGGGTTGGAAGGGTCTTAAATTATCTGGTTCCATCCCACCGGCCATGGGCAGGGACATCCTCCACCAGTCCAGGCTGCTCAAAGCCTCATCCCACTTCTTTTGATGTAGCCCAAGGTACAACTGGTTTTATAAGTTGCTAGTTTACACTTTTGACTCATATTCAGGATTAGGTTTTTCTTCAGTTTGTTTTGTTAATTTTATGCTGGTTTTATTTGGTTACTGTTTTGGGGTTGAGAGGTTTTTATGGGGAAAAGGGGAAGTTGGTGATGACAATTGTGGCTTGGTTTTTTTAACCTAGTTTTGATATATGATGATGATCATTTATTCTTTTTTTACAAATTCTAACTATACCATATTTCTCCAGCTGAAGCCCTGAACTGAACACATAATCCCAGAAGCCAAAACAGCATTTTATTTCACTTCTGGTGATGAGTGCTCTTTAGTTGAATGACTTCAGATTCAGCAGTGCCTTAAGTTTAGTTTACCATCCAATACAGAAAGTATTAAAAAAACCCCATGTCTACAATGAAAAAGCCTGTGTAAACTACAATTTAAACTCACAGAAAACAAGCAGGGCAATGAACTTTCATTACACAGGATGAAGGGCAGGGGCATAAGTGAGAGGTAGGTTTTGTTCTAGATGGAAAAAGCAATGTTAAAGCTCATTGTCTCTTATAAAGATAAGAATATCTTATAATTATATCTTATAAAGATAAGGAAAGGGTAGTGACATTTTGCCAGAGCTACACTAAAAATAGCTATTTCAGAATGAGGTTATGTGCATCTCTAAGGAACACATGCATACTTCACATGCTTTAATGAACTGGCCCTCCCTGAAGAAAACAGATAATTTTTATGGTCCTGTATGGTGCTTTACATAGGAATACAGCTTTTGGAGAGTAAGCAAATTACTCTTTTATAAAAGTGATCTATTTCCAATTGTTTTCTCTCCTAAGAGAAGATCATCACTTAAGTTCCTAACTCACTGAAACAGAAAATAAATTTTCTGTAATAATTTGGTTTTCCTCAGGATACGGCACAGCTTTAAATACTGTATCCATAGCAGTCTAGATGTCAGTTAGAGACAGCAGCTCTGACACTGTGTTAGAAAACCATTAACACCGTGACTCAGTGCTCTAGAGACTCCAGAACAAGTTGTGATTTCCCATAAAATCTAAGGAAAGTGTATAAACAACAATTCATGAAGCACAGAGACTTTAAGGGCCCAGTTTTAAATTCCTTACACAGCCAAAATAACTGTGACTCCAGTGACCACTGTGGAAACACTTGGAATCTGTTTGCATATTTATGGTACACTTTTGCTATGGAGACAGATATTCTTGCTGAAGGATCTGCCTGTTTTTACTGATGAAACGTTATGACCTCAACACAAAGCAAGGCACGGTTGTGGTCCTACACAGGATTTACATCAGTTGGAATTGAGCTACCCAAGAAGTTAATTCAAACCACTCACAAAGAGCAGGAATGTGAACTGGAATCCTGAGACAGTCATAAATCCTAGTCTTGGGTACAGGAACAATAAAAATTAAGACTATTTGAATCCTGTTATTTTGAAAATTCCCTTAATCCTTTTAAATGCCCTATAGGAGCCATATACTTCTTTCTTTAACCCAGAGAAATTACTTAATCTCATAAAAATTCCATTTCTAATTTCCAAATTGCATGTTGGGTGCAGGTTTTTTCTTTTTTAACAATCAAAAAGAGCATTTTGTACAGTTTCTGAACTTTATCTAGTCCATTCTGTGTTCTTTCTACTGAATTCTTAGCATAAAAACACCTTTTATTTTCAGTTCCAATGTTGTCTGAGCCTTCACCTTTCTGACTACTGACAACTTCAGTCTGTCCATTTCTTACAGGGATGTTACCTGAAATAACCCTAATCTGCAGGGGAAAAAAGATCAGTTCTCAAAATAAAAACACAAAAAATAGGAGCTTTGTATTTTACTGTGAGTGAGGGAGAGTACTTATTTTTAAATTTTTCAATAAAGATTTGCCCTGCTGAGTTCAGCTCTTTGTCAAAACATAACACTTGCTATGTGGGACTTTTCCAAACCCCTTCTCGTGCTAAGATACAGTTCAGAGTGCTTGTAGAGGGGCTGTGTTCACATAACATGGCAGAGCTTTGCTTCTCTCAACACTGTACACCTGACTCACAGGCACTTGCCTTTTCTAGAAGCCACCAACCTATACAATTCAGTGCTTTTCAGTGCTGTTGCTACCTCTAAAGTGCATTTTTCCTACTCCACGTTTCCAGCTGCTAGCATAGGGAGACTCAGGCTAATTTCTTCATTCATGTGTTGTAAACAAATCTTGGCACCATCAGCGTGGATCAGCCTTTGGCCACCCCCAGGACCTGTTCCCTTGGCTCTGTTTGCAGCTAGTTTTGTACAACTCTAAGTCTTAACTACTCCATTGTTTTGGAATACTTCTATACAGTGCTTCTTATAGAAGAGAATATGTTTAGATGTGTTACAGTGACTGAGTTTAATGGCAAAGTATCTGCTGGAAAACCGAGGTAAGGAAAGGTAGAGAAATATCAAACTACCCATGAAGAAAAGCTGCATATTTTGAGACTATGCCAATTACAGTTGGAAGTTAATTACAATAAAGAAATGCAGTCTGACCTGAAGAAAGAAGACTAGGGCAAAGACTGAAATTTAAGTCCTTTTTATTTCTGATTTTATTCCTGGGTTCAGCAGGAACCTCACCCTCCTTTCTCTCAGAAACAAAAACAAAACAAGCCCAGTTGTGACACACAATGACTATAATGACTGTAGGTTATTGTATTTTTTTCTTTTCATAGAACCTCTATTAGGCTAGAAGCAAAACTACACTATACAGAGACAGCTACTAGACGGCAACCAAAATATAGATTTCTTTAAAAATCTGTTAGTTAGCAGAGTCACCAATGTCTCCATTCCCAAGAGGGTACCACAGACCAGAGACATTCATTCTACCACAGCCTTCATATCATTACCATACCTACACCAGAACAAAGTCAACCATGCTAAACAAATTCTTATTTATAGCTTTCAGCAGTCTTCACAGAGTGCAGAGGGTTCCAGTCATTTCCATCATGACTAAGAAGCAGTCTAGTAAGTACAGTCCCATTGCTACTGCAAACATGGCCATCCATTTAAGATGATGGCTGCAGAAACACTGCCATGATTTACCACACTCCAGGTATACAAATTTCCAAATGCCTCAAGAAATGCAGCTCAAGTTTCCACATTCATTCTAAAAATTCCATAGGAATACTACCTGGGTTTAAAAATGAGCCTTTAAGTACCTCCAGAGCCTCAAAGTAAAGTGCAGCTGCTGCCTCAGAACCATTTAATCACTGAAATCTGAATGATAGAGTGCACCACTTACCGCTGAACTGGGAAGGAAAGGGAATCTAAGTGGTCCTCGCCCTTAAAAGCCATATTTATCCTGTTCTCATGTACACTTCTCATAGGCTGGAATCTAGAAAGAAAACAGTCATTTAGTAAACCTAGCAAAACTCAGGCACCTTCAGCCTAGGCTGGCATGGCATTTTCCTGCTCTTCTGTGGAGAGAGCTCATTAAAACAAATAAAAAGTCTCCTTTTCCACAACTCCAGCTGTTAACCAAGGCCATTAAGTACATTTCACACCATAAACAATGTAGGGTTTACATATTCCTGAAGATCCTGGACTACTGCACAGGTCAGAGCCATCTGTGTTGAACATTTCTGAGTTAGTATTGAGGTATTATATAGCCTCATTTATTTTATATTAACTTGAATGCTAGAGAAAATCTAATGAGTATTATAATAATTCTTCTTGTTATTGTGAGAAAGATTGCAAGTGAGGTCCCTTCCAGCCCTAATTATTCTGCAATGTGATTTCAGGATTGTTAAGTACTATATTTACAGACAGGTCCTTGATGACTAAGTTACTGAAGTATTTGACCCTTCCACGTTATAAAAAATGAAATTGTCTACGTTTTAAATGCTGCACACACCTTTCTCCTCCATGATTTCCCTTCATACCTAGTGACCAAGAGGTGGATCCAAGCTTTATTGCATTAGAAGAAAAAACAAGAAAGGAGAAGAAAGACTCCTCACTTTCACAAAAGAGTTCTGCCTCTTTCCTTCTCCTTTTAATTAGCCTCCCTTACATTACAGCACTACCTACTCAAAGCATATTCACAGCAAAAAATCATAGAGGATTTATTCTACAAAAAAAGGTGAAGTCATTTTCACTCACACACATGGCTAAAAGAAAACTAAGGTGAAATATTTGAAGGAAAATACTAATCTATGACTCAGGAAGAAGGAGGAAATGAATTAGTTTGGACAAGGAGACAGGAACAGTGGGAAAATTATGCTTTCTTAGATGTGAAAAAAAAAAACTGGTATCAATGGATCTCCTAGAGAAACTACTTTACACAGGAAATTACTGTTGTTTGTGTCACCAACTGAGGCAGAGTGGTTTTGATGTAGCTGCTTGTGAAATTCTGCTACTCGGTTATTGGCTGCATTGTGCCAGCTGAGTCAGCCAGCATTCAAGATATTTGCCACCCCAAATTGCTCTTAATTGACACAGAGTGGTCCTCACTCCCTTTCCTAGCAAACTGATCTCATTACTAATGCATGGCCTTGTTTTTTCCCTAAGATCTCAAAAACACGTCCTGAGCACATAAAAATTTTACACCCAACATAATGGGCTCACATGCTCTGTCCACTGTCAGCACCAGATTGCTCTGGTGATGGTGTCATCCTGTGTTCCTCCCTATCCCCTAGGTTTTCCTGGAAATAAACTTAATTTAATCCTTCTTTTGATGTATAGACTAAGATTGAAATATAGTAGAAGAATCTATTTAAAAAAGCCAAAACCAACACCAAAAAAGCCCTTGTTAAAAATAATTTGATTGGTACTGAAATCTCTGGTTTCAAAAGATTGCAGATAATTCATAGGTTTTGACTGGAGGTTCATATGCCTAAGTATGAAAATATTAGTCTGTATTCTTCTGCTCTTGTAACACACTAAGATTTGCAAAACAAGCTTATTTGAGGGGGCAGGAGGAGAGGGAATTTAAAGCATTTAGGGTATGATATACAGATTTCACTAACAAATTGAATAAATGAGCTAGCTTCATTTCTACTAGCATAATATTTTTTGTTTTTTAAAGACATTTAAGACTACCAGATACACACAATTGCACAACCACATTTACTGGAAACAGCCAAATAACAAACAGATTATTATGACAATAATCTTCATTTGGAGGAGATACCCTTAAAGCTGAACATATCCACATAAAACCTTAATCTCCAAAATTAATTTCCCCTTCTAAATCTTGTCATTTAAACGACCAAAAACCCCAATATTTTAGCCTGCAGAATTACAGATCTCATGGACACTAAGCATCTCTTTCTGCTCAGCATTAGACCTGGATTTACCTTCTCATGCTACCAACACTAAATCAAATCTAAAGCTTCAGCTTCCTCTGGCAAGCTACATCTACTTCACCATTAGCTCAGCCTACTACCAATTTCTACACATACAAATCAAAGCACCTGCTTGTACTCCATTACTTGTGATCAGTGACATAATGTACACAGACATAAATTAGATTATTGCATGTCCCTGTTCCCCATAAATTAGAAACCTGACAAAAATGCAAGTTTTTATATGCTGTCTTCCCACAAAGCACAATTTTATATTATGTCTGAGAGCCTTTAAAAACATTATCAACTCCTACTTAGAGATTACTTATGCTCCGGGAACAATAACAAAATGCCACAACAATATCTTAACCAAACTGTCTGGCTGGAGACTATGATTAGATATTAGCTCAAATCTTGAATCCCAAATTAATGTTGGCAACATGCAGAAATTCTCTGCCCTGGCACTTTGCCGGGGGATCCACTGTACCCCCAGGATCACAAGAGAGGTTGGAACACCAGTGATTTGTGGTACAGGCTTCTGGTCCTGCTTGGAATGCCTCCTCCACCTGCTGAGCAATTACAGAGCTCTCATTCCTCTTTCCAGGTAAGACCAAAACTGTACTTCCTAGTAAAGACTAGGAGAGAGCTGATGAGTCTATTTAGTTGATTCTGCTTTCTAGTCGAGTCCTCAACACAGTGATGAGCTTTAGTCAGCACACCTAAAAGCAAAGTCCTCTACTCTAGCTGACTATGGAGATGTTACACATGCACTCACTTTTATTAAATATATATAATAACAGATAGCGTCATTAGACTTCTGTAGGAGAGTCTAATTATTTTTTTTTCCACTGAAAATATTTCTTTCCATGACTAAAGCAGATAGCATCATTAGACTTCCGTAGGAGAGTCTAGTTATTTTTTTTCCACTGAAAATATTTCTTTCCATGACTAAAGATTAGTCCCATAGCCTGTCAGAGATGCTATCCAAGTAAATTTGTACAGAAAAACCCCCCAAATTAAAACTGACCAAAAAACCCGCTGCTTGTAGTTTGCAATATTGGTCATTTTGGTAGAAGCCTGAGTGACACACTGAAATAATAAAATTGTATTCTTGTACTACTATGAAGCCTTTTATTTAAGGCTTCATAGTAGTACAAGAATACAATTTTATTATTTCAGTAGTACAAGTAGTACAATTAACCTTATACAGGGCTTTATATCTGCACACAGCCTTGTACCACAATGTAAATGCTGACTTACAATTTCTTTGACTCCTCTGGTAGGTAGCAGCATGTGCATGTGGAATTACATGTACTCAAGGCATCAGGCTCTGTGTCCTGCATTTTTCTCTTTGTGATTTCAACACTGAATTAGTTTTTGAGATGTTATTTCCTCAAGGAATAGATGCAGATAAGCGGAGAACAAACCACATTTCAATCCCATCCAATACAGTCAGCCAAAAGCCTTTTTCAGGAGTTCAGAAGAGAACAAAGCATCACAACTGAAAGAGCATGAAAGCACTGCTCTCAGAAATCAGCAAGGTATCAGTAAAGGGCATGACCTTCATGGCCAAAATTCCCAAAACCACATAACAGGAAGAGGAATCTTGCTCACAGGCAGGCACATGGCCTTGCCAGCAAATGACAGAGAATTAAAAAAATCTTAAAAAATTGTCAAAGAGCCCACCTGTAAAATAAAAGAGAAGTCTCATCCCAGCTTACAGCAGTCTTGGCAGCACAGGGGAAGCCTGTGCAGCACCTCATTAGCAGAGTGTGCAGCTGGCAGCTGCTATCCCACTGCTCCAGGACAAACCCCTCCTGCCTTACAAGAACTCCCTGCTGAGAGCCTCCTTTTGCTCCAGCCTGTTTAGCAATGGAGAGCAGCTTCTACAGAGCCACAGTGCTTTTTGCACCCAGCAAAACTTGTTGTTTCTTATAAGAAAGGAAATTGCAACTCGTAGAATCTGCCAGTTTAAATTTCTTCTCCATCATTCATCGTGTTAGCTTATATTTAATAAATTAGTTTATTAGGAGGGTTTTAGCATAAGGATTCTTTTAGTAACAACATCCATGCCCAAAAGTATCATGGTAACAGCATGTTTTCCAGGTGAACTCAGTGTGACTCATTTTCTTCTACTACTGATGGCCCGAAAGTTCTCTATCACAAAATGATGTCCTTAATTAAGCCCTGAAACTTCAGACAATTAAATTCACATTTTTGAGCTCATTCATGTCACACATGTTCACCCTTGCAAAGACTCAAATCAAAACGCTAATCTGTGAACTTTCACCACACCCTTTCTAACCCCTAGCATCATAATTTCAACACTAAAAATATCTTCAAATAAGGTTGATCAAGAGCATCATTTCTCTTTCAGAAAGAGACAGAAATCCACACATCTAGTCTCTGACTATTAATAATCATCTGAATTAGAAGAGCATGTTACCTACAAGCAATATAGTCAACCTGAGAATAAGAAGTTATTAGCTAAAAGTCATTTCAGACCAGATATCCCTTGATTAATATGAGCGGTTCCTGTCTGTACTAAAGTACAATCTCTTTTCTGCCAAACAGTGCTTGCCCTTATTTTACAATTCTGGGAGTCTGGGAATCATTAGTTATTATTCTCCTATACGCAGAATAACTGTTAATGGAATGCCACAAATCAAATTAAGAGCAAAATTCTGACAGCATTTATGTGAGAGGTCAGAAAGTAAATACATACATTCTGTCCTTCAGCAACACATCCAGCCCATCAGAAGTTTTTCCTCACTAACCATTTAAGGACTCAAGATCCTGTGTCATTCTGCATTATAAGAGACTTACATGGGCATGAATTAATTACAATAGTAAGAGCCAACTCAAAATTAAGCTGAGTGTCACAAATCTAAGAAACCATAAAACCAGGAGCAAAAATAATGAAGAGCCCTCCGAGTGGTGCATTAAAATGGGTTGTATTAGCATGGGATCATATACACAGATCTATGGACCACACTCCTAGAATGCAAAATCAAAACTAGGAGGGAGAGGTGGGAAAAGGCACTGCCTATGG